GTGCGCTTGAGAAGTCGCAGAAGGCCTCCAGCCGTCTCTCTTCCTCGCCGCGCGTCTTATTCCTCCTTCTTCCTCCCTTCGATCCTCCCGGTCGTTTTCCCCTTTTGTGGTCGAGTGTCGATCCTTCGTCACCGTAACGGATCCCACTCGACGTACCTAACCCGAGGATGGAAAAGGCGCGTGGAATTTTACCCTGGCGTCCTGCCGCGCGAGGACCTCTCCTCTTCTTCTTCTCGTAATCGGCGCGTTTCGGTAAAACCTCGAGAGCTTCCACGAACGACGGATCAGCGATGCTCGCCGCGCGGCGTCCGGTTTTCTGGACTAATAATAACGTCGCGGCGGGACAGGGTTCGCGCGCCCGGATTCCCTTATCTCGCGCGAGAAGGGTTTATTGCGTTCAATGATAGAGATACTGCGAAGGAAATCGAGAGACAAAGAGAAAGCGGGTCGAGGGATACGGTTTATCGTGGCGCGAGGAGGACCGAGCGAGAGTCCCTCCGAACGAAGAAAAGAAGAACGACGTACGATCGTCTTTCAGACGGCGTCTACCGTCGTATCTACGATCGGCGTTGGACGACGTCGGCGCAAATTCAAGACGAAAAACGTACAAACAGAAGGATTCTTTCCGAGAAGAAGCCACCGGCGGCCTCGTATCGCGGATCACTCTCTGCCAAATGCCAATTATCTTTACCCGACGCTGGCAATTAAGTCCCGAGGCCGAGGGAAAAGTATCGGCGAGCCGGCAACGAGCCGCTTCAATTTCGCCGAAAGGGGAAACAGCCCTGACACGCGGGACGATTCTATCGTGGATTTTTACGCTCGTGCCCGACGGACGCAGCGGATCGCACGAATACACGCGCCGTGCTTTTTGTTGTCGCTCCCGTTGCGCGAGGAAAGAGGCGAATTAGCGGGAAGCCGAACCGAGGCTAATTTAAAACGAACTCGCGTCGAGATCGGGGGAAACTTGTTTGTAGGGCAGTCGACTCGTTAAAAAATCTCAATTGTACACTTTACGATTTAGCAACTGTTAATTATAGTTTATACTGTAATCAGCGAATCGAACGATTCGAGGGAACAAAATATACATCGCCGAGGTCACGATCGATTGGAAAAACCTGTTGTTCGGTCTGATCAGCCGTACTCCTATATCACTGAAGAAATTTCTCGTTTCACGAAACAGCGAAGACAATTCAAGTTTTGAATCGAGCGAAGTAGGTTTGATAGATAACCGTCGTGTTTGTTTAAGATTACTTGAAAATCACCGCGTGTAAGATACAGAAAAGAACGCGCGACGGAAGCACAAAGAGCCAGCGTTCCGAAATCGATGAAAATGTTCTCGTTTCGCGTGGATCTACCTATCCGCCGCTCCGATAGTTTATCGATACGCGGTTCAGGCTAGGCGGAGGCACGCGGTTTATCGATATCTGTCGCGTAATTACCATGGTAACGCGACGATAAACCGCTACTCGTGTTTGACTTGTTATTCAGCTGGGGCATGGGGCTTCTGGACGGGTCCTGCTCGTCGTCTATGGGTATGCAGACTCGGTGAAATTCACACGTGGCCATCTCCGCGGTGTGTACCGATCGATTAGATTTCTCGGCGGCTCGCTCCCCTCGCGTCCCATCGATTTTCCGTGATCTCGACGGACACTGGAATCAGATTGAAACTGAACGGCACTCGGATCGATTGCGATCGGGTCAAAGGATTTACATAGCAGCGATCGGCAACTCGTCAATTCTACATAAGCCATCAGTCTTCTAGAGTACCTCGATATTAATGATTACATACGTCGTTAATAGATCAAAGAAACCACTAATCTCTAAACGTGAAATTTCAACGATAAAATCCTTAATTGGTTCTTTATTCGTCAAATTTCATCGAAGTCCTATATCCTAAGTGACAAATGATACCCGAAAATTCACAGCTACATCATTCCAACGAAACGGAAACGATTAATCTCACTCTGCCGCTTGCCATATTTCATTTCCCATGTGCTCCAGTTTCTCAAAAGCTATCACGGAAGAATCAATTAGAGAGTTTAAGAACTCTAGGCACGGAGAAGGTTGCCCTGTCACTGTCATATCATTCGCCGAAGAATTTCTTCAGCTACTTCTCCCGGCACCGGATCGAATTAATAAAGCCCGGGGAGATAATCGGCAACGATGAGTCGCGGCTAACGATTTATAAGGAACTTTTAAATGTGCTAATTGCTCCGCTAATTAGGGCCACGATTACGTGAACACGATAACGCGACCGGATGACTTGGTTATCTGTCGCGCGTTTAGGTTTCGCGCTCGGTCCTTGGCTGCCGATCGGAGACGGCGTTTCGATCGGCTCCGGTCGAACGCGATAAATGAAAACGCAGAGCAGCCCGAGGCTCCCGGTGAACGAACTCGGGTAATTTTATTCTCGCGATCCCGTCAGCGACGGGTTTCTCGGCCGAGATTAGGGTGAATGTATCTGGAGGCTCACGTGGCCGCGCGAGGTCCCGATGAATGGATAGCAAGGAAAATATAACGCGTAGCCGACCGATAATATTACAATCGGGACAGCTGTAAGGGAGTTTACAACTCTTTGTGCCCCGTGGCCGCGACGCATCCACGCGCTGAATGCCCGAACTGTCGAAATTTATCGATCCTATCTCTGTAAACCCTCGAGCAAATATTTAAATAGCACTCGAAAATCTAGGAGGACAACACGTCTGCGCGACTCCGATTCCCGACGCGTTTTCCCCTAAAAACGAACGTCGCGGTGAACTTGTCGGAGAATCCCTCGCTAATTTGCTTCGGAGTTCTTTAACACTAGAACTACGGTACCAATCAAAATGACTGGTTTCGATTGTTTCGTTTCACAATTATTGATATCTTAAAAGCATTGAATATTCGAAACCGACGCGTTTTCCCATAAAAGCGAACGTCGCGGTGAACTTGGAGAATCCCTCGCCAATTTGCTTGGGAGTTCAACACTAGAACTACCATACCAATCAAAATGACTGGTTTCGATTGTTTCGTTTCACAATTATTGATATCTTAAAAGCATTGAATATTCGAAATGATCTTGAAAATAAATAGCTTTCACTTGAATACTATAATGAATGTCTGAAGAAACCAAAAATAATCTATTGTTAGAATTCTTATAGGGATTAGGTATCAGTCGTATTAAATCCTGGGTAGTTCTAGTGTTAACTTCATAATGACGTGCTTCTAACGGACGAATCAGTGAATAAGATTGTATATTTGAATTGATGCGAATTAATGAAGCACTCGTGTAATATGCAAATCCTGACGATCTGACGGAATGGACTTCAATATTGTCAGTGATATTTTATATTCTTCGAAGCCACTGCCTACTAGCTCTTTTTTAATTATTCTGCTATTACTCGCAAGTTTTAATAAAGTAATTAAAAAACTTGCCACTAGAATCCGCCGGGAAGCCGTCTTTCGACGAGATTATCAATCATAAGGACACACCGCGCACGATCGGTTGCCGCTTTCGCGTGAATATTCGTTGCAGGATTATTTATGGATTCCAAGATTAATCTCGGCCGAGCACCGACGATTAGAGAGGAGGGTGGAGGGCCGAGGGACGATGGAAATTAATTATATCGCGAGGCTCGCGATAATTTATAACTGAATATGCCTCTTTGTCCCGTGAATTCGTATCCGGCCGGGGGATTTCGAAATTCTCGTGATCGGTTCGCGGAAGGATCTCGGAAATCAGGCACGATAAAAGGTGCGCCTCGGGCCGGGCCGACAGATAAAGATAGGCAAGAGATTCTCCCCGGTCAATGGAATCTATTGTGTATCCGTGAAATTGTCCCGTTCCCGAAGACTAGAGACGTCCCGTTTCACGGAATCGGTGATTCCCGGGGTTAAAGGGGTCCGCTGCCGAGAAATCGAACCTCTCTCCACGTTTCCCGGCAAAACGCGATTCCAACTGTTTCCAGGGATCGCTCCTCCGTCGAGCCTTTATCGAAATCTTGACTGACAACGTGCCTCGATGAAAGAATCAGAAAAAAACCGAAGCAGCTGCGTAACGATACGTCCGCGCGACGGAAAGCCTGTCTCTCGTCAACCTTTCCCATTCCTTTTCCCCCCGCGGAGAGGGGGACAGATTCACTGTCGTTCGACGATGAAAATATGGCTCGTCGATGACGGCACAGGTTATTTTTATCCGTAACTCGCTCGCGTAATTTTCGTGCCGATGCTCGTCGGGCCGGTCGTATTGGTACGGTGTTTCGCGGACGAAACGGGGTCCGGGCCGGGCGTACACACCGTGACGTCGATCGCACGCCGGCCCGCGAGTAGCTCGCGGTTTACACGTCCGGCGATCGATCCTGCCACCCGGCGGACTATCTAAATTGTTTATCGGAGATCGGCCGGTGCATTTCTGGCGGAGCGGCCGGGCGAGTTGAAAAACGTGCGCGCGATTAAGAATAACAGCCAGCACACGTGCTAGCGGGGCCTCCCTTCTCTAGAGGCTCGCTGCTCTTCTGCGGGACTTTTTAATCTCGAGACGCGGATAAGTGGCGTAAAAGTCGCGACGTATTCCCACGTCCCTCGTCGGACGGATTTCGATAAGCCTGTTTGCTCTCGGAAACCTAGAACAGTCCACTCGCGGCCCTATTTTACATTTAGTGTGCGGCCGAATCAAATATTTGACTCGCCCTCTCTTGCGGCTGGCTTTCGTTATGCAACCGGAAACGCGAATTTTATTGCATCGAACGAGGATTTAACGGTGGATTTAGTAGATAGGCACGAATACGTTTCTGATTTTTCTTTTAGGATCGTTGCGAGGGTAAATTCTTCTTTGAAAAGGCACCGGAGTAAGCGATTCATGGATGAACTGAATCTTGATCAATTTTTTTTTAACGAAATCTTGATCAATTCGACTGCCAGTTCCAGTGGCAGTGTTAAGGAGCGAAAGGGAGGGGAATGATGTACACGATGGTCGTTTGAAAATGATCTCTTTATTCCTAGAAATTAGAATACATCGTCGTAGTTACTTACATAAATTAGCCTTCGAAACACTCGTGAGACTAACGCTCGCGCGTTAGCGTGCCGCGGCGATCATCTACGCTTTAACGCTCTGTATAGGCGGTACAATAAATATTCTAAGTACAAAAGCACGGCTGTCAGCGTAGTAACGAAATAGAGTGTTAATATCTGCGTGAATTACTGACCTAGTGTGCTTCGATGGCTGACGTTCATCGATCGCTCGATACGGAGTCGCGGTTTTAGCCCGTATTAATCATAGGAAGATCTAGCAGAGGAATCCTCAAACCGTTCAAACTACGTAACTCCTCTCTAGTAGAACATCTAAAACCCTCATCAATCAACATTCAAAACTCATCTAAATTCACCATTGAAACCATATCATGTCTAATAGAATCCAAAAGCAATCTCAAATGTTAGAAAAATCTTCGACATACTAAAAAAGAGAACTTTCTGCTCGATCTTTTTAAGGTCACCCCGAATCGCGATCCCTCGATGGATCCCTCGATCCCCCGCCCTCTACCCCTGTATCCGAGTAAATCACGGACACGCGAGTTCCGCGACCCGTCCACGGCCGATCGAGTTTCGCAGGTTTATTTGAAGAACGTGCCATACACTTTGGTAGACGCGGCGCGCAACAAACCGCTAGGCGGCCGGCGGTTTATAGTCCGTGCGTTATATATTTATTATATTTGGATCGCGGCGAGGGCACCGTATCGAGCGGTCTGTTTGTTTAGCCTGAAATTCTGCGCTTTGGAATGGCCGGCTGTCATGGAATGATGTCATGGAGCAAGATCGTGCCTCTGCTGTGCCGTGCACGCGAGAGAGCCCCCGACTCCTCGACTCCGCGTCGTTCAAGTCGGAGCGCGGAAACTCGAACGTGCTCTTAACGATGACGGCGTTCCGGAATTCGAATTATAACCTCCGATCGACGAGCGACCGGAGAAAACGAATTTATAGTTCCCGAAGCACGAGAGACCGGAGAAAGAATGTTCGCTTCCGGTAGAACGAGACTTTCCGTCCGAGTTCCCGCTGGCGCTCGCGCGTCGAAATCACGATACAAGACTTTTCCGATCACGGGTGCTTAAAACGTAAACTCCTAACGCTCTAACTAATCGCTAACTGTGTCGCGTATTTGGCTATTGTCTCGACGTCGCGAGAAACGACGCGAGTCATTCGAACGATCCGAAAGTCGCCGACGCTGATCTAGAAGGTTAATCGAATCGTAACCCGCTCGATCGTTCGAACGGCGTGAAATTCATTGGAGGATTCGTGGCTTCGCTCTGTCACCTGTCTACATGTAGTGGGGCCAGGTTTCGATGCCAGGTACGTAGCGTTGGTACTGCGCGTAGGACGTCGACACGTGGGGGTGGCTCATCTGCGCGCTCGCGTGCGAGTAGTGGGCATTGTGCGAGGAGGAGATGTACTGCATCGGGGGCAGGGGCGGTTGGAGCTCGTGGTACCTGACTATTTCCTGGGATCTGTCCTCCCAGGAGGTCTCGGCGATCGCCTGGTCCGAGCAGTGTCGCTTGCTGGGCCTCTCGACCTCGTCCTCGTATCTGGAACAGAAGATTCAACGTGTCCGTGCATCGCAACCCAATTGCAAGCCTTGTATATTCGGAAACTGGGGCATTGCAGCATACATTCGTCCCCTATGTATCCTTCTTTTAACCCTTAGTATTCCAGATGGTTTTGTAATTTATCATGCAACTAATTTTTATGGTATCTCCAGTGAAAATGAAAAATGCTATAATATTCCTTCGATCTTTTATTTTCCTTGTCAATACAAAATTTGGACGTGTGGAAGATCTAATAATTTTAGGGTAGTTATAACTGGTGAAATAGTGCAGCCTACAGAGTTCAAAGGGTTAATTCTTTATCTAATTAATTTGAACGAGAAATGTAAAGAATGATAGAACTGAGAGATTTATCCTTTCTCAACTCTCTTCGTCTAATTAACCCTTTGCACTCGACGTGACTCTCAATCATTTGATTTGATATAACAAAATGACACATTACGTTTCGTATAATGCATCAATTTGTGAAATATTTATATGAAAGCTTTGTTTCTTAATTTACGTATGTTTTCCCATTAGTTCGTTTCACATGGTGTCGTCTGTCTCATCGGAAAGTGTCAGATGTTTCTAGTGAAAAGCTTCCGAGTGAAAATGGTTATGAACGAGAAATATAAAGAGGGATGGTAGAACATATGTTCTTATTATTATATAATCAATACACCATACGAATCTCGAGCGAATTGAACTCCAATTGTTAACCCTTTGCACTCGGAAATTCTCCACTAGAAATGTTCAACAGTTTCCGATGAAACATAGACGACTCTTTGAAACTAACGAACGAGAAAACATACGTATCTCCAGAAACAAAGCTATTTCATATAAATATTTCACAAATTGATGCATTATACGAAACTTAATATTCTATACAACACTTTGTAATCTTGTATATGAAATTTAATGGTGACTGACAGTCACTTTTCACGCAGATGTCTCTTACTAGAAACATTTAACATTTCTTTACGAGGCGAAGACGTTCTTTGAGACTAATTCGAAGAGAAATCACCAGTACATTGTGGAACAAAGCTGTTTTATTCCAATGTTTCACGTATCGAGCATTATACAAAGTTTAACATTAAATATCACATTCTATAGTTTTACTGTGTTAAATTTAATGGTGACTAAGAGTCACCTCTCGAGTGCAAAGGGTTAAAAGCCCTCGTCTAAAGAAAACAAGCTTATTCTAACTACTTCGTTACTTCTGTTTCAGTATGTCTTACCTATTAAATACCCATTGGGACGAGGTGGTGGTCGGGGCAGGTATGTGGACCGGTGGCACCTGAGGCCGAAGGTACTGATCCAGCTCGTTGCTCTCGACCTCGCACTCCTGCAGGTTCAAAGGTATGTTCAAGCCAACGCCTCCCAAAGAGCCAAGCCCGTTCAGTTGACCCTCCTCGATCGGGAGTCCATCTCCGACTTCGATATATCGGAAATCTTGCTGCTGGTGAGGAGACTCGCTCGAGGAGGTGATCACTAAGTCCTGATGGTACATCGTGCTGTTCTGTTGCGGCTGGTTGCCCTGCGCAAACAAGTACACGCGCGTTCGCACAAACCGAGCTGGAAATCGTAATCTAAAAACCTCGGTGTTTACATTTCCTCAACGATTAACACTAGGTTTACGGACATTTATTGTACAGTTTATTCTATTGTTCCTGGGGAAGTTGATATTCGTTCATTTAGATTTTGGAAATTGTTGATGTAGAAATAGACAATCAGGATTCATATTCGTGTAATGGGATCAACGAAAACCGATTGAAACATTTGCCAAATAATGTTTATAAAATTCAATCTGCGTCAAATTGACGCGTTCCGTAAACCTAGTGTTAATGACGATAACAATAACAGTCGAGAAACAGTAAGAATCATCGAGTTCATTGATTCTGTTGAATATTTATTTGTAGAAATAAGCAACACAGTTTGAAAAGCTAAGTGTATTTATTAACCCTTTGCACTCCAGAGGCGCCTGTAGGTCGCCAAATGATTTGACACAGCAAAACTGTAAACTTTGATATTTAATATTAATCTTTGTACAATGCATCAATGTACGAAATGTTGGAAGAAAACAGTTCTCTTCCTCAATGCATGTGAGATTTCTTAATTCAGTCTAAGAAAATGTCGTCTGTATCTCATTAGAAAATATTGAATATTTCCGGTGAAGAACTTCTGGAGTGCAAAGGTTTAAAGTATGTAGCTTTACAAAAACTGAAAAACGGAGTGCGGTTTAACTGTTGAGCGTTTGCTCCGAAACTGCATGAACGACGCGGAGAAAAAAAAGACGCTCAGCGCGTGCAATAAAAATGGCTGTCCTCGGGAGAAACAACTGACCGCGAAACAGAGGACTGCACCAATACCTTGCAGTCATTAACACGTGACCCCCAACGAAATCGAATTACTATAGTTCACTCAATGAATCGACGATTATATGAAAACATTTCTATATTATAAATAATGCTACATAATGTGACATTCAGCTGGATGAATGAATTTTTTTTTTTGAAAAAAATCAATTTTGATATACTGCGCTTTTGTTCCATAGAAAAAAGCTATATTTTATTCTTAAATAAATAAGTGTTATAGCTTACAATCCCATGTAAATGATAAATATCAATAAAACGATTTCTTTTCTTTGCTTTCACATTGTTATTTTCAATTCTCGATTATATTCGAGTGTGAAAAATTATAGCAGCATAAAATACAACGCCGCTCGAATTATCTCGAATGTGCACAGTTTGGCCTGTTTAGCGCGCCCGAATTAACTCGAGCGTACAAGTTAAGGGGTTAATATTATATTTTTTCCATTCGGCATATTTTCCTCTGTGAAATCGTGCGGCGTTCAATGTATTAAAAATATACTTCATGCTCATTCTCAACAGATTCGTTTACCTGATTCACGTAGTGCTGTCCTCGAGGGGTTGTTGGCGGAGTCGGCGGGGACAGCCCTTGATTCGGCGTGGTCGGAGGAGACGAGCTGGCTCTGCTCTGCGGAGAATTCGGGCCCTGCGCTCCCCTGGGACTCATGTCCTCCTGCTTCAAGGACCTGGACACGTTGAAGGTAACGTTGCTCTGGCTCCTGGAGGGTGAACTGTCTCTACCCGCCGGGCCATTCTGCTTCCGGCGGCGGGGTTGGTACTTGTAATCCGGGTGCTCGCGTTTGTGAATAACGCGAAGCCGATCGGCTTCCTCGATGAACGGCTTCTTCTCGCTCTCCGAGAGCAATCTGTAACAGCGAACGGTTGTTGATTAGTCAAACGTGATTCGTTCGAGTAAACAGCCCGTGAACTATCAATAATCACGAAGGAAATAGAAAACAGTGATATTTGACAGGACGAAGTTGAAGTAACCTCAATGTCGCCGATGAAAAACAGAGAACGCAGTTCGGTTAACACGTTGACTGCCACGAAAACCTTTTGAGTTTTATGTATCGCTTATTCCTTTGTTGCAAAGGTAAAAGGGAATAGTTACTTATTATTTGGTATCGCAATGCTTACGTTACACTGTTATCTAATAATTTATGCTATGAAATACTTCTATTCGACATTAGTTACCTGACAAATGATAATTATTGTCAAGTAATTTGGAAGCTCCGGTCATCGGTGACCGACGTGGCAGTCAACGTGTTAATTAATCGGATATCCACGGTATCTTTCGAATGATATAGATTTCACGAACGTGTCGGTTCGGCGAAGAAGAAGGAAAATCGCGCGTTCGACGTGTTAACGGTTCACACGCGTGATTCTCTCGCGGCCGCGTATCCGGCATCAGAAGAGGCTGGAACGAGAGCGTTTCTATCATCCGCGTGATACACTCGAGGAGTCGAAATGGGAGGTCTGGTTAGTGTTTCTGGCTACGAGGAGTCTTAAGGACGCGGCTCACGCACACACGTGCGCGCGTGTTACACGCACACGTTTCTGATCGTGCGGTGGCCCGAGGTCGAGCATCGCGGTCCTCCATCGCGACTCGAACCCGCGTGCACTCTCCGCTCGTTGTTAGTCTTTAATTCCTCGTGTTTATGTTCCCACTGGGCTCGTAAAGCCCCCGGCCCGATAAGCTTTTCCGGTGTGAGCTGCGAGATCTCGACGATTCCAGCAATAATTCCGCCCGGAGACCGCTTTATTCACCGCGTTATCGTTTCGCGCCGTTTCCGGCGTACGAAACCGAGACGAAGAGGAGTTGTTGGTCATCGTCACCTGTTTCTTAGGCTCGGACGACTCGGCCCCAAGACACGGCGTTGTGCCAGAGGGTCGATGATATTGGACCGAAGGAATTTAAATCCCACGGATCGACGGGGAGGTGCTCGCGAGGGCTCTCGAACGTGTCCCCGACATGAAACGCGCGAGATGTTTTGTCACTGGGAACGGAGGAGCGACAGAGAAGAGAGCCCATCTGGTCAATGGACTTTGCCTCGAACGTTTTTTCGGCCGACGGGATCCGAGACGATAGCGGTCCGTGTCACAGCCTCCCTTTTTCCTTGCCAGATGCAACGCAGGGTCGGCCAATTTAGATCTCTAGCCTCTTTCGCCGCCGCTCGCCACCTTGTTGGTTCAATGATATCGGACGTATGGATTCGGCGTCTGTCGAGGAGGAATGAAAGACTAAGGGCTAACGCAAGCTTCTACCTGTAGTTGCGGTGGAACGTGAATGGGGTTGAAGACGCTGGCAGGGGTGAGAAGATCAAATATACCGTAGCTTTGGAATTGGTGATGTCTGCTGTAGGAAATAAATTAGTTTGCAATCTCCTTTGGTGTAACTTGGAATCAGTGTGAACAAATTGCACTGTAGCTTAGAAGCTATATGAAGAAATGGCAGTTTACTTTAGAAGGTATATGAAGAAATGGCACCGTAGCTTAGAATCAATACAAATTCCTCTGTAGATTAGCAGCAATACAAACAAATTATATTGTAGCTTAGAATCAGTAGAAACAAATTGCACTGTAGCTTAGAATCAATATGACAAAATGGAACTGTAGCTTAGAATCAATACGAACAAATTACTCTGTAGCTTAGAATCAATACGAACAAATTACTCTGTAGCTTAGAATCAATACAAACAAATTACTCTGTAGCTTAACAGCAATATGAACAAATTACTCTGTAGCTTAGCAGCAATATGAACAAATTACTCTGTAGCTTAGAATCAATACAAACAAATTATTCTGTAGCTCAGCAGCAATATGAACAAATTGCACTGTAGCTTAAAATCAATAGAAATAAATTGCACTGTAGCTTAGAATCAATAGAAATAAATTGCACTGTAGCTTAGAATCAATGTGAAAAAATGGAACTGTAGCTTAGAATCAATACGAACAAATCGCCCTGTAGCTCAGCAACAATACAAAAAGCAGACACGACAGTTTCAAAATCGACGCTTTGCCTCTGCAAACGTAGATGTTGCCATTGGAAGGAATAAAAGATGAAAAGTCGAGGGAAGGGAAGCCGTCGCGTTAGAGAATGGCGGAATACGAAGCGACGGTGCAGAGGCAGCCGACCAGAGGCTCGGAGGTGTCTCGAGGAACGCGCGGAGCCGCCTGGTCGGATCGGGACGCGTTGCTTCCGTCAGATAAGATGCATTTACCTGTTCGTCACGGGCGTTATTTGCGCGTGGTCTCGTGGGACTGCGGCGGCAGAGGGGCGAGGGACGCGGAGAGGGGCAGGTTCGGAAAAATTCACCTGACGGGGACAAGGCGTTTATTGTGATCCTTGGGGGCTCTTTATCTGTGGCAGGAACCGGCAGGCAGCTGCCAGCACGCGCCAAGGATGAACGCCGGGGGATATATATCTGTTTTCGTTTTGTCGACAAACATCTCGCCGTCTAATATCCGAACCGCGATACCTTTCGAGCCGGAAGGAAAAGGAGAAGATTCATTCACGACACCTACACCTGGTTCCACGTTACGTATCGGCGTCGATAGGCGGCTCGTGCTAGCCCTTCCTCTTTCGCAAATAATCCCGTGCAAACCTCATTCGACGCTCTAACGAACCGATCCTCCTCCGGTCTCCACGTGGCACGAGGAAACGGAATCGGAAACTTATCAGGCACATAGAAATCGAAGCTCCGTAGGTCACGCGCCGATTTCTCGCGAATTTCAGCATTCTCCTCGTTACCGAAGATGACTGGTAACAACGACAATCGCGCCAATTCGACCTGCAAAGAGATTCTCGAGAATCTCGAGTCCCGTGATTCGAACCAGCAGAACACAATGCTGGGAATGGCCCGTCGCCTTCGGTAGCCAGTGTTAATTGGCCTCCGGGGTCTATCTCGGAAGGCGCTAAATAATTACTTCTTAGAGGCCGAAATTTAGGGAGCGATCCACCAGCAGCGTTCAAACAAACGTCCGGAGTGTGAAATGATGGGCTACAAATACTTTACAGAGCGCGAGCCATTGTAGAGGTGGATCTCCCAATAAAGGGGTCTGTTAACGAAATGGTAGCCAGTGTTGTCCACGGCTATCCCAACGTTACTGATCGAGAACAGTCTCCTCCGGAGCAGGGAACCGCGATGCTCTATTGTGACGTCGGGCAAGCGAGATCGGGGGGTCGCCGAGTCTCGACGGAACGTTCGATCGCCGATCGGGATCGCGATCCAGCGGTATTGTAAAATGATTCACCGCGGGGGTCCCTGTCGGCGCGTCCTGTGATCCTCGATGGACCCACTGGGGCACCTCGTTAGCCTCGACCAGGAAACGGAGTATCCTACTCGAACGGTCCCGCCGCGACTTTCACGAACCGCTCGGTTTCTCCTCGATCGATTGAACGAACGTTACGCGTCGCTGATCGTTCCACCCGCGACTTCCGGTTTCGTGGCTACGGAGTTCTTCTAGACCAAGGGGAACACGTCGGACGCGTCGCCTCGACGTCGGTGTCCGACGAGTGCGGCAAGACAGTTGTCAACTGAGGAGGATCGTACCACGTGCAGCTCCCGGCGCCACGTGGTTCGAATGTGTGCGCGCGAGCGTTCAGCGGGGAAAAAAGGTTGCCGCGATCCCGCGTTTAAAAATAGGAACGCGTACAACAAGTGGTCGCGTGGATCGCCGTAGCCCGCGAGCGGACGTTCCGCGCTGCGATCGGTTTCGGTTAACCGATATTTAACGCTAGAACTACCGAGCAGGCAAGTCGGCGCGAAATTTGTCTATGGGAACTCTAAGGATGCACTGAGATTCCTATTGACTTAGGATTCGACTGGAGTTTTACTAAATCAGTTTAGTGATTCTGCGAAGCGTGTTATGGTTTTAATCATTGAGAAAGAACGTAGGAACTGGTCAGTTTGACTCTAGTAGTTCTAGTGCCTAATTTGCATGGAATCCGATGCAAGACTGCGTAAACAATCTGTATATGATTCCGTGGCACTTGTTTAACACTAGAACTACCAGTTAAAATGACTGGTTTCGACTTCTTTGTTTAGCAATTATTGATATCTTCGAAGCATCGAATATCCGAAATGATTTTGAAAATAAATAGTTTCATTTCAGTACTGTAATGAATGTCCGAAGAAACTGAAATTAATCTATTGTTACAATTTCTATAGGAATTGCATATTAATCGTATTAAATGCTCGGTAGTTCTAGTGTTAACCCTTTGCACTCGAGAGGTGACTCTCATTCACCATTTGATTTGACGCAGTAAAATTAAAAAATTGAATATTTAATATTGAACTATCTATAATGCATCGGGAAATATTCGGATAAAAAAGCTTTGTTTCTCAATTTACCTGTGATTTCTCTTTGAATTCATTTAAAAAGAACCATCGACTTTGTCTAGTTAGAAAATGTTATTGCTAACGAAATACTTCCGGGTGCAAAGGGTTAAAACGATCTTCGATAATATTCTGCGGTTGTAATTGTAATACTACGGTGCGCTGCTTGAGACGTAAGAAACGTTGAGAGTATCGACTACACCTGACCCAGAGGATAGAGGTAGACATCACTAGCTACGTAGAACAGTGGCGAAGCGTCAGCGTCGCTGTCGTTCGCGTGGAATATCGGTAAGTGAACGACAACCTTTGCTTGGGGGTTCGTTCGTCGCACGTCGTCCGGCGTGCCGCGAAGAAAGAAGACGGGATTGAACGCGATTCATGGCTCGCTGCCAGCCGGCAAGCCAGCGGCTGTGAGAATCGGATTTATCTGATCGCCAGCGAGGCCGGGCCCGACACGTGGTGTCGATTAATTTTATCGGGACGCGCTGGGCTGCGAGACGCAAATCCTCTGGCCGATCGGTTGCTCTTCTGCGCAGCAGATCCCGCGTACGCAGAACCCCGGCATCATGATCCGAGGGCTAACGGGACGCGAGTCTCACTCACCGCCAGAGTTTCCCGAGAGTCTTGGACAGCTCCGCGTTGTGCAGGTGAGGGTACTGGTCGGCGAGTATCCGCCTGGCAGCCTGCGCCCACACCATGAACGCGTTCATGGGCCTCTTCACGTGAGCCGCCCTTTTGTCGCCGGAACCCCTGCAATTCGAGGACATTATCTTCATTGGAAACGATGGCTCGGTTTAAACGTAAGCGCTCGCTCGGGGAAAAGGGATTCGACCGGTCAACTCTCGTCTTTCTCGCGATCCTAATTCGCTATTTGTCACCGATCAAGATTGTAAATAAAGATTACAAAGACCCCTTGCCTCTTGACCGTCAAGTCATCCTTGCACATGGGGATCCGTTCGAATATAAGATTATCCAAAAGTACACGACTATCGGTCCAACGGTTGAACGGAGTGAACCGTCAATTGGATAAAACATTCAACGTGGATGTACCGTCTAGCTTCGACTGCTCCTTGGACAACCCGATTCGGAGCTTAAATAAGGGTCGGATGATTCGATTCTGTACCTGGATGATACAAAGGACGGTCAAAGGTCGAACGACCGAAAGTATGATTCAGTTGTTGCTTCCTTATCGCCAGTGAATCACTGTAAATAGAGACCGATCATCCATCGCTAGCCGAGACGCGGCCGAGCGGACGCCGAAGTCCAGAAGCGTCGGGAACGCGGGAAGAAACGGATTTCTCGAAAACAGTCCTGACCAAGTCGGGTGACTTGCAGAAGAAAATAACCAGAGGCTGACGCGCCTCCTCTCCCGCCTCCCGCGCGTGCAGAGACGTAGCTGCATCCTTCTACGCCGGGTTTTGTAACCGGCGCAACGCAGCAGCTACCCCCGGGTCATCCGGGCGAGCCGCCACGGCACGCTTAAAACCGGCCTTAAAATAACACCGCCGCTGCCAACGGGTGACGAGCAGGAATGGACGTATCCCTTTCTTTCCTAGAAGATGACTTCATAAAACTGTTGCCCTCTGTTCGGATGGGGGATCGACGTGACTGACGTGATTGCGCGAGTACGAGCCTTCTCTTCCTCCTCGTGCTGTTTTCTTTCTGGACTCCGATACGAGCGCTCGAGAACCCCGCGCTAACTCGCGTACAGGCTAGGAATTTTCAGGATACTCTATCGAACGATACTTCAACCCTGGGAGAACGAGTAGCCATTTTGTCGCGTGACTTTACCATTCGACGCGAGGTTTATCGAGGAATTCTACCTTAACACTAGAACTACCGAAAACTCGAATTAACCCTTTGCACTCGACAATGTTTTTCATGAAAAATATTCATTACTTTCTGACTAGAGATTCACGATATTTTTCGCGAATAACACAATTGATTATCTTCTATAAATTAAGAGACACTATTTTACTTCGATGTTTTATGTGTTGATACATTACGCAAGGTTTAATATTGAATTGAAAATTTTATCAGTTTGCTGCATCCAATCAGCTGACGACTCTAAGACGCCCCTCGAATGCAAAGGGTTAACTTCTAAAGAATTTTCTATAGAAACTCCAAGGGTGTTCGTTGAGATTTCTATCGGTCTACAATTCAGCTTGCAGATTGCTGAGTCAATTTCTTCAGTATATCTACTGAATTATCTGCTTTTTCGATAACTGCAAGAAGAAATCAGTGGGTCATTTTGACTTGGCGGTAGTTCTAGCGTTAAACATTTTCCTTACCTCGGACTGCAGCTATAATTATTCGTCTGCCTTCATACAAGTGAATCGAATAAACTTGTGAAAGTAGAATGATCTAGCATTCGATGCGCAAGGGTTAATACAGATAATTTCTGAATAAATTCATCAGGATTTCAGCTAGCCTGCACGATGCTCATGACGCAGAAGGACGACGATCCAAGAGATCGGTGCGCAGCGGTTTCGAAAGCGCGAGAGAGGCGAGTGCCGCGGATAAACAGGCAACCAAGGATTCGAAAACAGGCTCGTATATATTTCGGCCTCTTTGAAATAAGAGGGGCGTTAAATCCGTGTGTAAACCCGAGGAGCCGTTGGTAATTAGCGCGGGCCCACTAACAAGGGTTTTCACGGCAGCCACGACTCCGCTGTACCGAGCGGTTTACCTGGATACGCGAAAAATCCTCGCGTCTTTACACCTCGTTTGCGCCGCGAAGTAGACACTACCGGCGACGCGTAGGCGTGGCACTGTCAAATGATGCACCGGCTGCACATAACCTAGCCCCCCGTTTCTCCCTCTTCGTTCTCGTCCTCCGTGGATGTTGCAAGCGAGCAACGTAGAAAAATGTTCAACGAAGATTCAATCTGAATTCGCCGTAACATTCCTCTCTAAAACGAAGCGAGAAACGCGTCGTTATGCGAGTAAGGGAACCGCGATCGACGATAAATCGATGGCAGAAGTACGTGGAATTACCCTAAACAAACACAGGAAATGCGCAACAGTTCGGGGTGCATTCTCATGGGTTCCATGGGAATTAAAACTAGTCGATTTTATCGGCCCCTATCGCCAGGAATAAACACCGTACCCTTTAGCTACCCCGAGATAACCCCGTGTAATTGAGGGTTAGCGATAACGCCGACGCGCGTAGCGATACACTCGGAGATTCCGAGCGGGGCTAGGGAAATTTTCCGTGGAACACCTTATCCGGGGTGCTCCGAGCTGCTGGTTAAAGAAAAATCGTTCGACGCGCGAAAATACGATTCAATCGGAGCCGCGCAGCGATTCGGTTTCTGCGTCATTGAGCGGATTGCGTCATTTTCCTCGGAGTTTCGATTTTATCGAATCGCAACGATCGTCGGCTATGGCGCAACGACGGCCATTAATTCGCCCCCTTCTTCGATACGCGGGCGAGAAAAAAATCGCGTTCCCCGTATCGTTAGTCCTTTCCGATCTCTTCTGCTTCCCACGAGCAGATCGACGGACAGCGAGACGAGAGGAGGCAGAAGGGGTTAAGAGAGAACCGACGAGATCGAGCATTAATTAGCTAATTTCCGTTAATTGGCAACCGAGGACATTTTTCCAGCAGACGTTTCCCAAGCCGAGGAAACGGGTGCGTCATAATTAAGTTAGCGTTACGTATTTTTCAAGCCGCGTCCGCGCTTCGTCCCCCGCCCCGCTCGTTCCGGCAGCTTTTTCTTCGTTTTCCCCCTTCTTCCCCTGCGAACCTCGGCGTGCCTAAAACGCTTAGCGGTAACCCCGTCGCGTTAATGCTTGCTAACATGGCTCACGGTGATTAAAATGTCTTAGAAGACCTACGGTGGCCGGGTTGCAACCTGTTCGCGCCAACGCTGGGAGAAGTTGCTTGATCGCCGACTTAGGGGATCGGTATTGCACATCTGTTGCTCGTTTACCGGAGAATCGATGGAAAGGTGACCAAGTGGCATAGAAATGTCACTTTGCGAGTGATGCGTGTGCAGCTTTTGTCACCATTCCAAGCGGATCCTTTTTAATCAACAAATCACGATGAAGGAACGTGTGATTAATAACAAACGAAATGTCAGACATTTTGGAGGTTCTGTCATGGCACCAATCGAATCCCTGTTAACCATGAAATGCGAGGATGCGAGGGACATTTGATTGAACCTTTGCAGAGGAGTGACTCGGCTACCACTTGATTCGATAGAGAGAAATGATCGTGTGATATTGAATATTAACAATTAGCCAATCGAATGGGAGATCTCCCACTTTTCACTTAGCAACGTATTGCCTTTTATTGTTTACCTTTTCTCTTATTATTTGTCTCGAAGTGGGATTATTTGCAATTCATCGAATACGGTTCTTGTTTTTACAGAACAGTTTCTAACCGAATTGAATGAGTTCGATTGAAGATAATGACGAGGTTGTAGTTATAGTTCTTAGGCGGTCCAAGTGTTAAGTCAGCTTCGAAAGTGCGTCTCCAATCAGCAGACATCAAATATTTCTACTAGCAAACTCTCGACCGCAAAGGTTAATAGTAAACGATCGAAAGATCGAACGAGGAACTCACTTGATGGCAACAGGTACCAGAGTCCAGTCGTATCCCTGAAGAACCTTGGTGACCGCCGCGCTGATCTTCTCCCCGCAATTCGCACCGACCGCAGCCACGACAGCTGCCTTCCCGTTATTGTTCACGTTGCCATTGTTATTGTTGTTGTTAGCGACGGCGGCATTGCCGCCATTGCCCGAGGCAATCGAACCCGACGCCTCTCCCATGATGTCGTTCATCTTCCCGCCGATTGTTCGACCGCGATCCGGAAATTCAGCTGATGCTCGACGAAATCGGACGACTCGTTAAACAATTCCACGGGTTTATCGCGCACTGCGAGTGTTCATCGTTCGGTGGAACAAATGTTCGATTACTGGTTAATTACCGTATTATCATGGCAACGTCACTTCCGTTTCTCGCGAACTTACGAGGGTCCGTCCACACGATCGAGCCGTTTTTCCTCTTCCCTCCTTTCCCGTCGATCGGCCGCGACCCTCTGTGCCACTGGCCGCGTATCAAGCTCGCACGTTTGTCACGTTTAATTAATTTCGCGCTCGATTACGGGGCGAGAACGCGGGGCGAGAACGCGGGGCGAGAACGCGGGACGAACGCGGGGCGAGCGAGCGAGCGAGCGCATGTCGGTCCGTCGGGAACGGAGGTCTATCTCCCCGAGCGCGGTTTTTCTCGGCAACGCGACGACCAGAGAGCCACGGCAATTCTAATCTGTTCTCCTTTGTGCACCGCGCCCGGCCGTTTTGCTCTCTTTTCCCTCCGACTTTCGCTATCGGCCGCACTCGCGTCGCTCTCCAGACCGGCCGGATCGACGCCGAACGGATTTCCACGATGACTCTCGCTCCCGGCAGCGGATCGGGGATCCCGTGACTTCTCGGAACCTCTATCGCCGGATTATTTTCGATCTAACCGCGGCGCTCCGCCAGCAGATTACCAGCTCGCGTCTAGAAGCGCGCGCGCACGCGCCCACTAAACTCCGTTTCCGTTTTTCACCGACGATTTTCCGGGACTGTCGCGATCGTCGGCCACCGCTCTTCGTTCCTCCTCGGTGAGGAACACCGTCGTCGAACACACTGAAGAGATCGTTCTCCACCGGAATCACTGGATCACGAAGATACCATGGAGATCTTGTAACTAGTCCAACGTCCGATGTTCACGCTGTTTCTTCTTGAAGACGGTCCAACTGAACTCGATGTCGCAAGATTGATCAAAACCGACGATGGCCGCTGCCTCGCAGTGGATCACACTCGACGCGTCAGGATCGCGGACTCGCGAGTAACATTGTTTTCTCGAATGGACTCGGTCGACGTGAAACAGAAACCGGTGCCGGGCGAGGATGATTTCTAGTTGCTGCCGCGATCGGCGCTCGAGTGAGGTGGTTGCATCGCCTCGGGGCAGTTTCCACCGATTCCCTCCGACGGCGGCTGCCGGTTGGGGGCGGGGCGACGCCGAAGAGCTGGTAACACTTGTTGCTTCGCGATCGTGCCCACCGATGATGCCACGGACCGAGAGGAAAGGGACACGGAGGAGAGAACTTCGTCCGCTTGCTCCGACTGTGCGCAACGTACGGATTGTTCGACTATGATGCGATCGATCGAATTATTCGATGGAAACTTCCAATTTCTGGCTACTCTAGATCTGTTGGACCTCTCTTCTGTACATTCGGCAAGCGGTTAATGCATGGAATCATGGATTCTTCAGGGTCTTCATCGTGAAATTCATCAAACTCCTGTTAACGTGTTATTAGAGGAAGCTGTAACTAATCCTTTATTTCATTAACAATTCCTAATCGAACCGCATCGAAGCATCAGCATCTTAATTTACGTTCGATCATGGAACCTTCGAATTTCATCCGAGTTTAGTGGATACTAAAGTACGACGGAGTATCTTCGAAAATTCTGTTACACCGAAGCCTCTGATTCATCGTCACATCCGTGTCCATTCGGAGCCGCTCCATTTTCCACGGATAACCGGGCAAGATGCCCAGAAATCGTGTAAATTTTCGATCCCGGCCGCCGCCTCTCCCCTACGTTCGATCCCTCCGTCGGCTATCAGCCCCTCCAACGATCCCTCCCCCGTATCATTTATTTCAGAGCAGTCTCTCCTCGCCGCGACAAGAGTTTCCATGGCTACGATATCCTCCGGGAGTAGGACCAATCGGGTTTCTCCTCGCTCCACCTATCTCTCCTCTCCTTTCTCTGCCCCGACCCCGTCTCCGTTCCTCCTGCTTCCTCTCTCTCCTTCGCTCCCAAGCAGGGACGCCGATTGGCCGGCCGGCCGTTGGCAATTACGACGTCATCAAGGAGGAGCGTGCAATTTTCCTGGCGATGCACCAAGTCGGCTCGCGTCGATGGTTGCACTCGTCCACGGGATACCGGGCCGCTCGGTGCCTTCGTCGGTGATCGAGGAACGCTTGGCATGATAGATCTTCCGACGATACATCTTCATTCGTAGCTTGAGTCGTAGTGATCTCAGAAAATCGAGGACAAACCTAGCAAACATCGTCGAACCGACGTATTTCCGTTCCAATTAACTTGCGCCCTTAATGAAGTACCCGAAATTTCTTTCTTAGGACATTAACTTAATTCGTAATCATTATTCCTCCCTATCATCGTCGAATGGTTGTAATCTTTCAAAACGCTCGTCCACGGCGATTTTAGTTTACACGATGAATCATTTGCCACCTCATCGTTAAAGTTTCCTTCTGAATAATCTCACGAGAGATACAGAAAGTTCTCTGCACTATAAATTCCATCGATAGGGGATCAAACGCTACGTCCGTTTAAAGGCTATTCGAAATCGCCTCGAGCCTCGGTTCCAGCCAACGAAACGAGAAGCCGGGCCTGGAAATCATCGATCGCGTACACGGGGATGATCGAGCTTACGCGGTACGCGATGACATCGTGCCGGCTCGATGACAGTGCAGATTGTTCCGTAGCTCGTGTCACCGTTGGGGGTCCAATAGCTGCGGTGCCCGCCACCCGGGGGGCTACATGTGTCGGGCACCCAGTCGGCTGGCTCCCCTGGCCCTCTTCTTCGCGATCCTTTCAAGTGTCCGACAGACCAGCGTCTCGGGACCCCCGGGAATTACTGAAATCATTATTTTATATCCGCCACGCTTGCGGATCTCTCCGTCGATCATTCCTCCAGGGTGTTCCGGCGCGACGCGTTATCGCGCGCCATTTTTCGTCTCCCTCGCGATCGCTGATCATTCTCGATTCGACGTTTTTCGAAATGCTACGTGTTATCTTACGCCATTCTTGATCTCGCGATCACTCATCCTGGATTCAGTATTTCCCGACATGGCGCACCGTTGTCTATTCTTCATCTTCGTGATCACTGATCATCCCCAATTCTACATTTTCCAAGGTATTATCAAGATTTACACTCGATCATGCCCACGATCACTGATCATTCTCAATTCTCCGTTTTCCGGCGCATTGCCACGATTCAGCGTTTTCATGACGCATCGTTGTCTATTCTTCACCTTTGTGATCACCGATCATCCCCGATTCTACGTTTCCTAACGTATTATCAAGATTTACAATCGATCATGCCCACGATCACTGACCATTCTCAATTCTCGGTTTTCCGGCGCATTACCACGCGTCGTTCGCAACCGATCATCCTGGAGCCGACGTTTCCCTCCCCGCGCAGCGGTTGCAAAGGAGGCGGGTCCATTTTCGGCGAGGTTAACCCTGAACGCGCGATGAGAAGGATCCTTGTTCCACCGCGAGTTTGTTTGGCTTCGCGTGAAACGGACACGAGATACGGGAGTGTCCTTTTTCAGGGAAACGCGTGGTGGCGCGCGTTTCCCGAACGTCCCTGAAAACGTGCTCTCCTTCGCGGTGTATACCGGGAACGAGGCGGCCGGAGGCTCACATATTGGCGCCACGTGCGCTTCGGGATGTTTATCCCAGGAAGAGCAAAATTCCGGCTTGGTGAAATCAATATTATTGTTCGCGGTCGGCTAAATTTGTGATCACGGCGCGCGATGCGGGTAATGGCGCGCGTGCAACGCTCGGTAAACGGGATCGGAGATCAGCGGGACTCGGGAATCGACGCAACAATGTTCGGGACCGGCCCGGGGATTCGCTAAAACGGACGGGGAGCGTTTCAGACCGAGCGCGGTTTTATTTTCGAGCGTGGAATCCGCGCGTTTGGGAGAATGTCAGTCGTCGTTGACGCGTGATGATGGCTCCGCTCGCTCGTTAACCCTTTGAATGCGGAATACTCGCGGGTTAACGGCGCGTGGCTGGCAATTGCGATCGCAGGGATGAAATGCTGGTTGACTAGTGTTCATCGATTAACGCGCGTTCGTTATTCATTAGTCTTTATTATAATTGATTTGATTTTTGCAGTATTTGATATTAGGTGAATCTTTGTCGCACGATTTTCTTTAGATTCATCATCTATCGAATGATCAATGAACGAACGTTTGAATACAATCGAAGGTATCTATTAGCATTCTATTAACAGTAGAATCGTTTATCGATTTTTGAACCATAATCACCGATATTCCCAAGAGCGACGCGAGATCGAGATTCGTATCGATGGTACCTTTAAAATGTTGCACTCGGAAGTTTCTCACTAGAAATGTTTAACATTTTTCACGAGGCGAAGACTTCTTTGAAACTGACTCAAAGGGAAATCACGAGTACAATGAAGAAGCTATTTTATTCCAATATTTCACGTATCAAGGCATTATACAAAGTTCAGCGTTAAACATCAGATCTCATAGTTCTCATGTGTAAAATCTAGTGGTGAGTCACCTTCCGAGTGAATACACTTTGATTACTTTCGAACGAAGATAGATTACAGCGTGAACAAGTGCATTAGCTAATCGAACGTTCGATTTGAAAACGTATCGACAGCTGATAGTTTTCGGACCTTAACGCGCCAGCGATTCACGCGAATAGGTTTTGAAACCGCGCGTCTCCGCGGATAGACTCGTCGACACCAGGATAAAAACGTCCGCGATTCGTAATCCGTCTAAGTAAGTGTCTCGAGCGTTTCCGAGAGGCGGAGAGGGCTCGCGTTTTACGCTCGCCATCGGGCGGCGAGTTAATCCTGTAAAGTGCGAGCGAGATGGCTACCCGCTTTGATCTCGCACAAAAGCCGCCACACGGCATTGACCGTGGTTTATATACGCTCATGTATGGGCCACTGTCTTTGCTAGCTCGCTCATTCATTAAATTCGTTGTATAATTAGGCTCGGCAGAAAGACCGGGACTGTCAACCCGCGGGGTCCGTGTGCAGCCGCGGCGGAAAGTCAGCCCTCCACCGACATGCGCGCACCGCCCTTGGATTTATGCTCCCGCGACGATTCTTGTTGCGCCTGTTTCTCCGGTGTGCGCGACGCTCGATCCCCCGTCCCGCCTCGGCCCCCGGCGATGTCGTCGAACGCGCAAAATCGCGCGACTGTCGATCTAATTATAAAGCTGGCCGGGAACAAGCGGAGAATCCTCGGCGTCACGGTCACCGGTGACTCGGCCCTTTGCTTTTTCCGCGACGATTCCGACGATAATCTAATCGCGTTCACTTAGCATTCCTCGGGATCGATCGATCGCTAGAAACTAGCAAGCCTAACAGAGATACTCTTAATTAATAATAGACACGGTAGAATTGTTTCCTCTTCTATCCGATTCTCAAGATTCCCTTAACACAATATCTCCTACTCTCTAAAGTAATAAATTACTCTGTCGATCCCCCAAATGACATCATTCAATTAACCCCAAGCGAATAATCGGAAGGGAAGAATGTTCGTAACGATGTTAGAGGCGATCGGCGAGGATCGCGCGAAGGATGCGAGAAAGCGGGCCGAGCAAGAGGCAGAAAAGGAAGAAGATCCTAGGTGGCTCCCCACCAGGGACAGAGGTGGTCCACGGAACCGCCTCCGCGATCTACCATCCAACGTTTGGTGCGTGTGCCAGACGTGTGCTCGCCGTTTCTGCCGCTTTCGTGGACCAACCTGTGTGCCTGGTCCCTGAACGAACCTCCACAGCGACACAGGGGATCCGCGTCCGTGTTTCTTCTCTAGTCAGTCAGTCAGTCAGCCATCGGAGTCTCCTTGATCCGCGCACGCCGCGTCTTCTCTCCTCGGAACGGTGCGCCTCGGGCGGATCTCTCCGGATCGGAGTCCGTCGATCGTATTGTTCGCCAGTCGTCCGATCGGGTATTCACCGGTGTGAATGACGGATCGCCCGGCGACGATTTCCGGGTTGTACACCGAGGACTGAGTGGCCAGAGGATCCGGCTCGCGAAAGATCGTTATCGGTGTCCCGATAACGGCGAGCAGACGCGTCGACGGAGTGACGGAAGCCGATGCGACGCCGATACCGCGTATATCGAGACAGCCAGAGGGTTCGGGCCATCGATAAATTATCCGGGACCGATAACCCCCTGGGATTAATTATCGACCTCTTCCCTTCGGCCCGGTTCTTTACGATGCGCGCTCCACGGTCCACGTGAGGATTGGACGAGTCCGCGATAAAACGAGCCACCGATAAACCCGCGCTTCGGCGAAATTCGTTTCCTCGCCCCCGATTCTCGGAGAGATAATAATCTACCGAGGCCTGACAGAGGAATCCCATCGTCCGCGTCGCGAATGCGGAGGACCGCTGATAAGTGATCGACCACGAGATTCGAAGAGATGGAGGCCCACCATGATAACGGAGTGTCGTCGGCGACGGAGACGAAGGCCGGGCCCTCGAGCGAGCCATGCGGCAGCTCGTTGGACGATGTCGTGGGCAAGTTGCTGCAAGGTTTGATTATTAGTCTATTGTAATTGATTTGTTCTTTGTGGTAGTTGATACTGAGTGAATCTTTGTTGCACGATTTTCTGTATGTTTTGTATCTTTTGTTCTTTATCGAATGATCAATGAAGGAATGTTCTAATACAATCGAAGGTATTAGTATTCTATTAACAGTAGAATCGTTTATCGATTTTCGAACCTTAATCACCGATATTCCCAAGAGCGACGCGAGATCGAGGTTCGTAGACTATCGATGGTAACTTTAACCCTTTGCGATCCGAAGTGCCCTTGGTTTCTCACTTTGAGGTTCACATCGACGTTAGTTTATTCAATTACAGCTTAACATGACGCTCTATTTATTCAAGAATATTTGGGAGTCATTGAAATGTTACCTTTAAATGGTACAATTGTGATACTACAAATAAATGTCGAGTCCGACTCGACATAGAACTGCTAAGGGTTAACCTGTTGTACTCAAGCTTCTTACTGGAAATATTTACCATTTTTTCACGAGGCTTCTTTGAAACTGACTCTAAAAGAAATCAGAAATACAATGGAGACCAAAGCTATCAATATCGTTTGAACCGCGATGAATCTCGCGTGGACAGCTTCATTAGCTTCGTTGCCTGCGTTTATCTCTATCTCTCGATCCCTATCCTCTACCAATATAAGCTCGCTCGAATCAAATATTTCTCGGAAGCGCACGAGACATCGAATCCCTCGACCCCCTCTCGAACAACGAAAGTCTATCGTCGATAGAGCAAAACTGGTCGGTGTGCACGGCTCATAAACCGGAGCAGCATCTTTTTCGGTTGCCGCGGTCTCGTTTGCTCGAGGAAGCGAGGCGGGTGTCTTCATCGGGTCGTTTAGAGGGGACACTTTAATTGGCGCTGAAAGCCGGCTCCGGTGGCTTATGCGTTCTCAGATTTATCCTCGCGATACCCCGGGGGTACGGATGGAAGGAAACGCGGCGCGGAACGTTGAGAGGAAGATAGAGCGGGGCCACAGGAAAGACGATTTCGAGGAAGATTCGAACGGCGTCAGGTGCTGCGAGCAGAGCGAGACCGCTGAACGCTTGCCACCGACGCTAATTATGCTAGTACGAAATTAAATCCGAGACATCGGCTCGGTTGGGTACCTAGCGAAGTATGGCGGAAGGTGGAGCCAAGAGGGCAATGGGAGCTGGGCGTGATTTACGACGACACACCGTGCTCAAACTCTCTCTCCGACTGTCCGCCTCTTTCCCTCTAGCGGCGACCAGAGATAGACATCTTCAACCGTCGAAAAGATTCGAAGATCTTTGCGACGTTCGCTCGCCTTCCGTTTCGGCTAACGAGAACGTTCGCGCGGAATGCGACGACGACAATCGCGGCCGTTGATCGTTAACGATTTTATATGCGCGCTCGGGTATCGGGCGGAGAACAATCAGAGGGGAGACGATAAAGATCGATGGGGTTGGCACGTGGCGGGACCAGGCCGTTCATCGACCACGGAAAAGGTGTCGATGCGTTGAACACGCGCCTCCTCGTTAACGAGACAGTCCCCGGCAACGGGCGGTTTTGTAAAGGAGTTAATGTAGCAAGAGTCGACGACAGGTCGGCATTGACGAGCGAGATGCCGAGACACACCGGTTCATTCAGCGGGCCACAACCCCTTATTGTGTGCCGTGGTCCCGATCTTCCCTGAGCAGCCATTCACGCCGCGTAAAAGTATCAGAGTTCTCGGCCGACCCGATCCCATCTACGCTGATTAATCAATTCGTAGTTAGCGCGTATCTTTCGTGTGCTTCGCTGGCTCGGGTCCTCCCGAGACTTTCTACAAGTTCAAGGGATCGAAGTATCGCAACCCAACGAGAATAGAGCACTTTCGGAACAACAGCGAAACTCGTTCGTTCGTTCGTTCGTTCACCGGCGAGTGATCTAGAATCTTAAACGATAGAACTACCAGTGAGAATGACTGATTTCGGTTAGCTTGTTTCGTAATTATTGATATTTCCGAGGCGTTGAATATTCCGAATGATTCTGGTAATATATAGTGATCTAGATTCTTAAACGCTAGAACTACCAGTGAGAATGACTGATCTCGGTTAGATTATTTCGTAATTATTGATATTTCCGAGACGTTGAATATTACAAGTGATTCTGATAATAGCTTCGCTTGATGCAATAATGAATGTCTGAAGACACTGAAAGCAATCTATTATTACAATTTTTATACGGAAGACATTAATCGTACTAAACCGGTAGTTCTAGTGTTAAACGATCGCTTCAACCCTATCGTCCTCGTATGACATACTAAATAAAGTATCTAAATTCGGTAAATTGTAATGTCTAAACGTCCTCGTATCATCACAACCATAGATTAATTAACAACAGCATCGACCTCCTTATCAAATGATCACAATCAAGTCAATCACATTCAAGTGGACGTAGAAAACAATTCACGATCGAAACGGTCAAGCTCGATTATTCGATTTGCAATCATACGAATTGCTTCAACGAGTTCATTCTCGAAATAACCATTCGACCTATCGAAGTTCACACCCTGTTTTTGCTCGAAGGAGCCTTCCACTTTCTGCCGTACCACGAAACGTCCCCCTGTCTCGCGTGCCTTTCGCGCGAAACTTTTTCTATTCCCGTCGCTTTTTAGGGTGCGAGTCCTTCCGCGTTTCCACGGAAAATATTCTGGTCGGTATCGGCGAGGACCTCCAGCGGCCGTTAAAGGAGCCGACAGAGGGGCCGCGTCGTTGGACCGTGTCCCTATGGTAATTAGCTCCTACCGGAATCCTCCGGGTCCTCGCCGGAGTACGCTCCTGGTGACATTTCGACCCACGTGCACCGTTCTTCCCTCCTTCTTAACGATCACCGATGCGACAATTAGAAGCAGAGACGTACGCACACTTCGAGACCAGCGCTCCAGCTCCAC